TCAAAAAAGTTTGAAAGGTTTATGTAATCTAGGACTGGCAATTAATTAAAATGTTTCAAATGAATGATATCATCGCTGTCGGGTGGAAACCTTGTATGCCCGAAACCACTACTTTTCAGGAAGTGGAAAAAACACTGTATTTTTTAAATAATTAAACACAGTCTTATTGATATTGTGGCTTATTTTTAGTTATATTGTGGCTTGATTATGGTCAGACACTTGCAGGTGTCATTACATTATTAGCATTGTACCAAAATCAAGCAAAATCAATGGAGTTACAAGGTTTTTGACCAGCGAATTTCAGACATACATGTTCTTTCCATCATTAAAATGGCCACATCTGAGGCAGTAAGTGCATCACATTACATTTCCATTAACTTATAGGTTGTAAAGTTTACTGTAGCTATGTGTGTGCTTTTTTTGGACAAAATTCTCATGTTACAAAAGATGACAACAAATACTAGAATAAGGCACTCTTCTCCAGTACACAAATACATAAAACATTAGCCTTTACATAGATGGATAGATGGATAGTGTTTCTTGAGTACTGTGGGAACGGCTCATATCTCATTCTGTACTGCCTGTTCTCAGTAGAAGTGTGGTCACATTAGCAAAATTTCAACAAATTCACATGACCAACTTGAATTCCTATCGAAATGACTAGACTCCGCATGCAAAAAAATCACAGAAGCATAATTGTGGTTTGGAAAAGCATGTAGCAGCAGATGACTGGGATGAATGCGGAGGCACTATCTGCTTTAAGCCACGACGAAAGGAATACTGTTTCAATTGAGAATACCATCTTCAACAGCTGTTTATGAGCACTGTTTATTTATTTCACCCATTTTAAGCTAAGCATATTAAAACTCACAGTGTATATACATTCTTTGGGGTCACTGCATCCCGGACACCAATAATTGAATGATTCATAAAAAATGAATCCCTGTCTGGCCATTTGAAATTTTGGTATGGCGATAAAGGTTTGGATCATGATTTTTTTGATAGTATTACAGCACACTGTGAGTGTACATTAGCATAATTTGTTGCATGCTTTTGGCATCTTATTGACCCAGAAACAGTGATGTGTGTGTGACGTTGGAATTATGCAGATATTATAGGTGAAAAACAGTACATGAAAAGAGCTAAATCGCTCGTAACTCCAAACAAACACAAAGACGTTCAAAAGCAATAAAATGTAAAAGAGCATGTCAGCTTTATATTAGCATTAGGCAATGGCCACCCAGCAAGTAACAATTTTGTAGCAGGCACGGGTGTCATGCATCAACAACAGCATAAAGTGTTCAATTTCTAGTCACTTTGGGAACAACATTTTTACATTTTCTTCATTACTCCTATTGTGTAACGTTACTGTACCTATGAGCTACAAACCACTATCAAAACTCCCAATAACAGCGCAAGTTTTAGTTAAAAAAAGCAGCCTAACGTAGCAGTACAGTGAGGGTACCCTGTACACTGCTGGTGTTTTGATACTGTTTCTGTTTGATGGAAAATGTTTTACCTGTAATACAGTTTCACAAGTTTCTCATGCATTTGTTCATCATAAAATCCAAATTCAAATCGGGCATCACAAGTTCTGGGCTGAGTTTCCCAAAGCATCGATCTACTTAGGTTTTGCGCATCGACAGCCCTTATTTACTGTATAAACTTATAGCAGAATACAAAAGAACACATGGCATGATTGCTGGAATTATTGTCAAGTTTCTCAGGTCGATAAATGGTAATCATCTTCGAAATTTATCAGTGAAATTTTACTGGGGCTTATAACGTGTTTGTTATTTCAATTCGAACCTGATTAATGAGTGTAATGTCCTCAGCTTTTTGACTTGAATTGACATTGAATCGCAGATGTCACTCTAAAGCAACGGCAACCAAAAGCAAAGCAGATTCCAGTCTCCATCCAAATCTGCTAATAAATTCCTCTTTGTTTTGTTTGTTATTGTCTGATGAAGTGTTGTTCAGTTCAGTGGTGGAAGTTTTCTAGGGTGTCACAGTTGCAGGGGCATTGCATCACGCTTTGAAATTCGTCCCCGCCTTGCCTCAACCAAAACAAGAACAGTGTTTCAGATCAGATATTAATTATTCCCCCGCTAATAATGTCCATGAGGAGAAATGTGAAGAAGAAACTGAACTAAAGCACTTCACAGTATTTCAGGAATCAGCTAAAAAAAAAAACAGAAACAGGCTATAGTATCGGTGATGGTCTTCTGTTCAGGTTTAGGTGCTGCAGATCAATGAGCCAAAATGTCCATTTGTAAGATTCCTATCTTCAGGTGATAAATGAGGTGGTATATTTCAAATGAAGTCACATACATTCTAAGCCCTATTCCAAAGACAAGTGAGTTTCCGTCTCTAGCCTACATACTAACATACACAGCTGCCTTCTAAGGCGTAATGGAAATGCACAAGTGACTGATTTGGAACGGTCTACATGGCAGCAGCTCCACGCTCCACACTCTTACGTGAAGCACGCAGGGGACTTGATCCACTATTGATTTCAATGGGGTTTGATATTGTGAACTAATATTCACTAAGCTAATGACACATTCTAATGTGCATAAAATAGTATACAAAAATATTGGGTAAAATATGTTATGGATGTATTATACATAAATTATAATTTTTAATTACTTTATTAAAATAGATATAAATATATAATAATGTTAAACAAATACATATACATTATGATACATTATTACTTTAAAGCAGAGGAGACAAGACATGAGAGTGAACTAGAAGGAAAAGACTTGTCCTGGAGAATGAGATTGAGAGAAATAGAATAGAGACAGAGAACATGAGGGCATTTAAACTAATGTATTTCAATAATCTATCCATTATCCATCCCTACACAATGGTACTGCGGTGAAATAACGCCCACATCTTACATCGTACATGTTTGTGTATATAAGTGCAAAGTCCTTGCATCTTAAACTTCAATGCCTCTTGTTTTTCTGCTTGTAAGGGATATTTTGAAATGTTTAGAGATGGTTTGAGGAAATTTCTCAGTACTGAAGGAATCTGCTGAGGGTTTTTATAACTACATGGAATTTTTGTAACCATCATATTAATGTTAAGCCTTCAAAAAAGATTCATTAAAACAAAGATATTATTAAGATTCTTCGTATTTATTTTAATAACATAAAATATAAATTATTTCAGTGTGACTAAATTTAAAAGAACAAAACATATGTTCAATCAGAGTCCTTGTTATTACCCATTTACAATAATGACTTGCTACTGACTGTACATTATCCTGTTTATTCGGCTACTTACCAAATAAATAAATAAATGTACATATTGATTTAAGATTAAATTATTTTATTAGTTTACTTGTAGATTATCTTAAAGCTTCCGCTAAGGTTACCAGGGACAACAAATCAATTATACAGGTTAGTAAAACATCTGACCACAGAATCAAGTATTCCAGAGAGTGCATTAAAAATGAGACACCGGATGCGTACGATATGACCTTATTTCGAATAAATAATTCATAAACAGGTAAATACATTAAATCAGGACATGGTAGACAAAAAGTGGATTAGATTATCTTTGATCTGATATCTTGCAATGTAAAGCAGAGGAATGAGTTACTCAATAAAACCCGAACAGTGATTACTGTAAACATGTCATACAAAGACAAGCAAGGATAAACAAGCATACTGATGTGAGGCTATACTGAAGCAGAAAATCCTTAATGATCCTTGGTGGAGTGAGGATCGAGAAATGTATAAAGGGCCCGAGCAAATGTAGTATGCAGTGCTTGTGTATGTGTGTGTGTGACAGTGATGGAGTGAGGGTGTATGTTTGTGGCTGAAACTAAGAGGAGTCATTTCTGAAGACTAAAGATGAGCTGTCACAAGAGACGGACTGAACTCCCCCTTCAATCGATATGGGGGATTGGTTCCCTTTAGGCCTCTGGAGCCGATGCAAGATTTCGGTCTTTCCACTTTTAAACACTATATCTGAGGATTACAAAATTTTACTTTCTGAAATATAGACTTAACATACAAAAAAACCCTTTGAAACTATATTGGGGAAAATACATCTTAAATGACAAAATAAACATTTTAGTGTTTGAATTTTACATCTTTGTTCAATTATAAGAATTCAAACTGTACAAAATTAAGAAACATATTCTGCCATGACTTGAAAATAAAGCTGCTATTGTAATGCTGCCCACAGTGAAATGGCATATTCATTTGGCATAATAAAAATATATATTTCTGAATCTAGCAGCACTACAAAGACCTCTGGGAAGGGAGGGGGCTTCAGTCAATGTTTGACTCACTCGTTCTTTGCAACAGGCAGAGTGTTCTGCATGACTAACCAAAAGCAGAGAACTCAATAAGGACAGACAACGCAGCTCAAATCATCAGAGATAGAGATAGAGATAGAGATAGAGAGAGAGAGAGAGAGAGAGAGAGAGAGAGAGAGAGAGAGAGAGAGAGAGAGAGAGAGAGAGAGAGAGAGAGAGAGAGAGAGACTAGGGAAAGTGTGCAGAAGATAAAAAAAGACCACCACCAAAAAATAAAAATGGACAGACTAGCAGAGCTTTAGCAAATACAGCCAAACCTACATTAGGGAGCTCACTGAAACAATAACTCTCTCATGGTTTTTAAAGTGGCAAATTCTAGCAGACTTGCAGATAAAATAATGAGTCAGTTTACCAATTATAACACTTTCTTAGTATAGTTCTCAATATGACAAGGAAGGCGATTAACACCAGTGTTGTTTTCATGGGACAGTTTCTGAAAACTTGTTCCCTGGAAGAGCAATAAAAGTCAATAAAATCCGGAACTGGCAGGTTTAGTTGAATCAAAGTTCTCTACTGATTTTTATAAAATTGGTATCTTCCAACATTTTCAGACTCCATAGACAATATCACAATCATGTACTCTTTTACTTGTTTTTTTTAACTGGCACCAGTTCAAGCACAATTGCAGACAAGGCAACATGGCACAAGAAAAAGGCTTGAATCTTACTGTATCTTTTTGGTCCATCCTCCAAACAGAAGGAGAGGGTCAATGTAGCATCCTCCTCAAAGAACTCCGTAGCAAACGCATCCCACCACAGACTATCACTCTCCTGGGGAAGAAGGAGAGTCACGGTTAATTAATGGGAGTTAATTATATGGTGAGATATGCTTTGTCAGTCTTAGAAGTCTATATTTAAAAGGAGGAAAAAATGTAATGTTTTGTGTATAGCTCCACTTGTTTTTGGATTTTATACACACTGGCATTCAAAAGTTTGGGGTCAGTACGATTTTTCAATTAAACCATAAAAATATGAGGAAAATATTTATTTATTTTAAAAATATTTTAAATATGAGGGGAGAACAAAACACTAAACTTGGTTAAGTTATTTATCTGATAAAATTATTTGTCAAAAAAGGCAAACAACATCAGCTACAGGTTTTATTTTACTATTTAAAAAAGCTCACAAGAAAAAACACACTGACAACATAATCATTTATTGATATCTATCTTGTTTTTGCATGTGTTCATAATTTCTTTGTAGGAAAAATGATGACCACACAATTTGGCATGTTTCACTGCAATATCACAAATAAAACAATTGATTCCAAGCAAAACTATGAAATATGCTTACAAAATTTTCATGTGACCACGAGAACATCAGTTCAGCGGAACCTGCCATCCCTGATGTCTTCTTCCTTCTCTTAAAGGGGTCATGAATTGAGAAATCAAATGTTCCATGATCTTTTGACATATAAGAGGTCATTGCTTTGTTTTGAGTTTCAGCTTTTATTGAAACAGAGCTTAGAAAACGGCTAGTTTCGGATTTGATCACATTATTACGTCATAATTCGTCGAAAGACCGTGTCTGCAGAAGATCAAAGTCTACTTTTACATAATTTCCTCTTTAGCCCCACCCACTGATTTGCACATGTCATGTAGTAGTAAATATGAGACAGACGCAAACACAGGATTACTCCAGCAACAATACGATAGAGATGTGTCTGAGCATTGCAAGAGTAGTTATACTGTAGCACCGCAGTTATACTGTGAATAGTTGTGATAGTTGTAATTTGCTGTTCTTTCCTTTTCTTCAGCATTTGTGGTTAATGAGAATAAAGCATGTAGAGAACGCTGCTTTTGTTATTGTTTTGATCTAAGCCATTCAATCCTGAATAAAAGCTTCAGTGAGTGACATCTGTTTTGTCATCTAAGACATTACAACAGGTTTCATTTTATTTAAAACACGACACTGCAAACGACAACGTATATGTTTTTCCACTTTATCGAATAGGATGAACTATGAATAGCCTATAAGAATGACAGTGTGACAAACAGTGGCACATTCATTCCTAATTCCATTCATATGAAGTTATCATTAATATCAAAATTAAGCACTTTTTGAGTTACCACAGTTATAGTTGACAAATTTTGTCAACTATAACTGTGGTAACTCAAAAAGTGCTTAATTTTCCACAACCAAGACTGATAAAGCATTATGTAATAAGCATAAATGTAGCACTTTGTAGGCAAATGTTTCAACTATGTTGCAAGATATTTTTCAACGTCGAAAGTTTTCAAAACAATGTTACACTAGGGATGCACCGATACCACTTTTTTCAGAATCGATCCGATCCGATACCACAAATTCTGAGTATCGACCGATCCCCGATACCGATCCGATACCAGCACAGTTTTTTTTAATCAAGTAGAATTTTTATAACTCTGTGTGTTGAACTGATAATCACTCTTTTGTGTATTAAACACAATCTACTTAATATAGACAACTTCATTATAAAGAAAAACAAATCAAAATATATGATCATAATCTATGACAAAAATGCTATTATAAACTAGATTAGTGGATAATTCAGCAGTAAAATGTAATCTATAAAAATCAAGAGTGCACAGTATACTTGTATAAAATCTGACCATTTAGTGAAAAAAACATTTAGTGGGGAACAAATAAGAGACAATAAGTGTAACACTAAATCTGGTAAAACGTTACACATTGCTCTTTGTATTGTTGTAAAATATATTCATGAAAAAACAAGATAACAAAAATCAAAAAGATAAATTATTTTATATATAGCCTAAAATTGAGACATGTTTTAAATGTATAGCACAGCTGTTTAACGAGGCAGGAACATAATAGATAGGACAGAACAAGAAAGGCTATTAATAATCTTTCATTGCGTCACTGTATTATGATATGAAAGGCTCCAATACATTGCGGCACACAGCGCTTTTGCGCATCCCGAGCGCAGAATGATGCGCTTGAAGCAACATGAGTCACAGCGCGCGTCGAGTCCGCATTGAAAAGTTCAAAGCACAAAGGAAATACATATTGATGCGTAGTGTATTATACAGTATCTATCTATGCAATCGTTTATTTAGCCTTTTCTTTTAATAGTTTTAAATTTCAGTTAGCCTACTGTGCGCGTGAAGAACAATTATAGTGCTCTACTGTACTCCATTGGTGTGATCTAAGAGACACCTGACCCGGTAGAAAGTAACATGATTAAGTTACAGCAATAAAGTCCAGCAAGATAAAATTGTTTTATGCGAAACCATAGACCTTTATCTACAGATCAAGTATAATAATAGTAACATTGAATCATCTTGTTCTCGTGTTGACTGTAACCGAACGCGACGCGCTGTTTGAATGCTGAATGAAGAATGATTGACAGATTGACGGATGGAAAAGTTTACGTGATCTTGAATTTAATGACTTAAATATTCATGTCTATCTCACATTATAATATATAATGGCTTCAGAACACTTATAATGTAGTGCACGAAAACTTTATGGTGCTTTATAATGTTTTTGTGCCTTTTGTTGGGCTTAACAATAACACAGAATATATACGCACAATATCGGATTTGGATCGGCCTCTTCTGAAGGATACCCGATCCGGCAAAAATGGCAGTATCGACCCCGATACCCGATACAAATATCGGATCGGTGCATCCCTAGTTACAACGACTAAATTATTTTTAAAAAATAGCTTAAAAAACAGGATAGAAAATAGCTTATTACAGTAGGCTACTTCTAAATTAGGATGGTTTTTATGTAAAAATCTTGATAACATCATAAGTGGACCTCTTTCATGACCCCTTTAAAAGCTCATTTTGCGTCCATTCTGCGATCTAGCATTCAAATTACATGAGCCCAGAGCTTATAAATGCAAGATTTTTCCTTAATTAAAGACTGGTTATGTAGAGGGCACCTGTGCACTGTTATTAAAAGTCGACAACAACAACAACAACCAAATTCATTATAAATAATGTACATCCAGGGCACCTAGAAACTCCAAATCCACTGCTAATGGAAATATTTACTAATTCACTTGAATTAAATTAAGGCCACTCCATCAGATGGGCACGCTAGCTGAGAACATCCTCAGCGTATGTAAAATTAGACTCCACAGCGTCCTGTGATTGACAGAGCTCTGATTCTAACAGACGTCGTTTAGGCCAACGTTGCCATCTAGCCGATGTTGCCTGGTGACAGATCACAAGCCCTCTCAGATGTTTACAATTAGGGCTGTCGACTTCAGGCAGCGTCACATTCCACAGTGGCCGACCCTGGAGACCTTTACACCCGAGTCATGTATTCGAGAAGCGCTGTTTTCCAGCGCTGAGGAAGCGTTCTCATCTGCTCTGCGTTTTGGGAGTGAGTCAGGGCCCTATTACGATCTGCTGTCTTAGTCACTTGTAAGTGAATGATCAGTTTTGACACCTTTTTCCATTCAATAAGGCAGGAGGCTGATGTTGTCCAACACAGCTGGTTATTAGCACAGCACTATCACCCATGACACACACACAGTTTTGGCTAACACTCTTTTCCTTGCTTTCTACTTGTGTATGTGTGTTTTCATGTGTATGTGTGTGAATAAACCTGTAGTCACACTCAGCAGGATGCATGACTTCATCAGATAATCATGTTTTCTTCATTTTTAGCTTTTTCCCCCCATCTTGGTTTCTTGAGGATTTGCAAATATTTGAGGTTAAAACAACCTTCCTTTTCTCTAATCATTAGGCCTGGGTATTGACAGATTTCATGAATCAGTTCCCAAGATCCCCAAGCTGATTCATAAACTATTTTGTATAAATATACTGTCATGTGGTATATTACTATAATATTAAAGGTTAAAATTCACCAGTTCAAATTTTATCAATGTTATGTACACTATGTACACTAACATTTAAATTGCACAGTTAAATAGCAGTTTTTATATCAACTTTTTTAATGGTTCTCCAATAATAATAACAATTTAATGGTGGCTATCATAACATTAGCTTCTCATTACAAATGTATTCAAACATTCAATAAATGAGACATCACTAACATGATACGCAAGAATATAATGAATATGGATATATTTATTAAAAATTCTCCTCTCTAGAGTTATTTTTTCGAGCTGACTAATAAGCTATGGTCATTGAATGGCTTTTCTGAGGTAAATGTAACATTACGTGACATTGTTTACAAGCTGTTTTATTGACGTCTTTATGCAGGTAAAACACTGATTAAGCGATTACATAAGAGATTTCAATAAGTTGTATTGTCTCTTTCAACATACCTTCTGATGTTCATTCAAGTTTATTTCGTGCTATAACTAAGTAATGAGGGAGAGGTGATCGGTTCACGTGGCGCTTGAACTGAGGCAATACAGCGATCTGTCATGCCACATTAAAGATTCAGTGTTTGAATTTGATGGTAAAATTGACAGATTTTGAAAGCTGAGACTGTTTCATATCAAATATAACAAAGCACAAAGCTTATTGTAATTATTAGATGGGATGCACGCTACAAATGTTTGGTGAAGTTTTGTTCACGCATCAACCGAAAACAGCATAGACTAAGAAATCAATCTTGGGATTTAAGTATCAATTTTGATCAAAATTTCGTCATTAATCGTAACTCAGCCCTACAAATCACTGTCTCTTTCTCTCCCTTTTAGGTCTGAAAAACAGATCTTGTTGATCTGTATCTTTGGTCAGTGAGTCTCATCTCCTTTTTAGCCATATTGCATGACAATCATGTAGTTGTGATTGAAATCCCACGACTCCCTGAGCTCTCTGCAGTTCAATATCTCTTTGCAGCTC